TATACTAGAAGGCCCAAATCAATTTTTTATCCAAGTGATGCTCCTTTAGTTCCTTTTAAAAAAAATTTCTCTTGTAATGTTTTAATAATCTTCCTATGTGGGATACTATATTTTTAAAGGGTACTTCTCTTCTAATATTTTAGTGGTCTTTCAATGTGAGATACTACTCAATTGTCAATTCTAAGTATTTACTAGTTTATTTTATTATTTTCACTAAAAATCATAGCCTTAACAAAATTAAAACAAAAAATAATATCAATTTTAACAAAGTAAATTATTTTTGGACATATTAATTATTAGTTTTTGATGTTATAAAACAAATTACTATAGTTATTTTTATCTTATTTTAATTTATAAAAAATTAAACCTCTTTGAATATTTCAAGTAAAAATATTATACTATTATCTAATATTATTTATTATTTGAAAATTATGCGTAAAGCATAATATAATTTTCAAAATAGAAAAAATTTTGTTTAATAAATTATGATATAATATATAAAATATATAATATTATTATAATAAATCGGATCGGATCGACATATATCCGTATTTGCTCAATTTAGTTAACAGATGATCGAATTCGGATCTTAATCGGATTATCGGATTGAAACTTTAAATCCATCTCCCGTTAATTTCATCGGATTCGAATCAGAATCCAATCCATTGACAACCTTAACAGTGATCGATGAAGGGAATATGCTAGTTGGGGACTTCATAACTATGGATGACAAAAATATCTGTCAAACAAGATACCCGTGGGGCCCCGCCTTGAACAAGGTGGTAGTACCCGCTAAATCGGGTAATCAGGTCGGGTGCGGGATAGGTACGAGGAATAGGGGTCCACCCCGTTTAATTTTTTTTTTTTTTTTTTTTTTTAAGAATTTAATATTTTAAATGGAAAAACTCTATGAAATTTTTTAATTCTAATATAAGATAGCAACTAAAATTATCTAAAAAAATTTGATTAACAATGAAAACCTTAGTTCACCAAATATGTTCGAATAATTTAACTTTTAAAAATAAATTAATTAATAAAAATTTTAATAGCTATATTATTCTCTCACTTGAATGAATGAGAACAATAAAATGAATTATTAAAAACTAAAGAAAATAAAAATTAAAAGAGTATGTAAATTGGGCAACTGTCGTGCCCCCTTGAATGGGTACGGTACGAAAATATGCTTGATGGAGTGAGGGAACCTGCACCGCCTCGAGCCCCCATTGCCAACCCTATTTCTGACTCTACAAATTATTCAAAGTCAATCAAGTATTGTGTATCCTTCCTTTGGGCAACCAAACTTTCACCTGAAAAGCAATATTATCCATTTATTTCAGAATGGACATCAATTTTATGGCAAGACCAATGAAATTCACACACACTCGTCTCTCGATTTTTAGTGATGTGTTTTCATTGGAATCTTTTATATAATAGTTTTCATTCATGAATCATATTATTTTTCCCCCTTCTTTATGCAATATCCCTTTTCATAACACATTTTCAAGATCAAACTTCTAATAAGAGATTCCTACCTATTTTTACCTGTTGGCCTAAGACAATCCATCCTAAAGTTTTTTCATGCATAGAATCAACTCTTACATCAATAGCTTCCTTTATTAGTTCGATCATCCTCATACATATTTTCAAATGATCTCGAGGTTGTATAATAAATTAGTGTTTTTGGGTTTAGCAGCACATAAGTTCAACTAGTTCAACATATTTCACGTTAAGAATCAACTCATGAATTCATAATGAAGAAATCAAGTCGGTACACAAAATATATCTTGTTTTTATACGCAGATGAGCATCAAACAATCAAAGGACGTAAACTATTCACAATTTACAAGTTAATACGTAATTCGAAGTGTGTTATCAAAGTCGACAAGGCTATTCAACTCACACAAAGTAAAAAGGAATTTTTTTTCAATTTTTTTCTTCTTTGTCATATATAGTAAAGTGGTAAAGGAACTACCTTCAATTACATAAATGTAATAGAAATATCGATGTTTTGTCCCACCCTCAAACTATATTAGACATGCCCTCAATGTCTCAAAATACATAAAAATTGTACATCTTTTTAATCTAAGGTTCTAAAAGGCACGAAGTATCAAGACGACCAGAGTAAAACTAGCATGTATCCACTCCCCTCCAAAGAAAAGGAATTATGATATTCCTTTAATTGATAAGAGTATCTTAAGATTTTATTTGCTTTTCTATTTGATTATTTTATAGAATCTCCTAATAGTGGGTCACATTTATATTTTAAGTTGGTGAAGTGACTTTTTATTGTCGAACAATATACATAACATTTATCTTCTTAGTATGTTTTGTGCATTCTCCGTTTTGGTATTCCACATCATAATTATCATTCCAATGGCAATAATTATCTCCTCAATTTCTAAAATCTTGAAATTTTCTTTATTGGTTTTTTAGATAGCCTCACACTCTTCCATAACTCGAACTGGAATAAATTTAGGAAAAATTGATGAATTAGTACTCCCCATCCATTCACTTAGTAGCAAACATGTCCCCAATTTAATTTTTTAGGCATTTACATGAGCAACCTATTATTTTTAGTAGCACTATGGTCCCCAACGGGCAGCAATAGTCCTGTTTGCTACCAAATTCCTATTTTGCCCGGGCCCGGGGGAGGGGGGGGGTTCAAATCAGATTTTTAGTGAATTTTGATAAAAGTTGATGAAATGTATGATTGAAAGTTGTGCGATTCATTAGATATGTGGTTGAAATGAATTGTTAACTTTGATTTAGATTAAAATTTAGATATTAATCGGTACCAAGTGAAAGGCTAAAATCATGATTTTAACTTAAGTTGAAGTCAACAATTAATTTCAACCATATATTTCATGGGGCTCACAACTTTTTAATCTTACATTTTATCAACTTTTATCCAAATTACCAAAAATTTTATTTTAATTTCCACCAAACAAGGGTTAAGTGAATAGGTTGGAGATGTAAATGTCAAACTTGATTATAGACCTATTTTCTGCTAAGTGAATAGGCTTGGGAACTAAAGTGGCAATTTTTATTTTTTATTTTTTCTGAAGGTGGGGGGGTGGGGTGGGGATGGGGATGGTTGGCGCGGGAGATACCAATTTTGTCTCAAATTTATACAAGAAAATGCAGTGCCAAATACCAATATTCATAGGATAATAATTGAAAAAAAAAACTAGCCAAATAGAGACAAATACATAGAAATGTAAGCAAAATAGCAAATAAACTAGAGTGGCGTGGGGGGGGGGGGGGGGGCCCCCCC